TTCCTATTGGAAGATATGATCCGAGCAGCTATTCACGCAGGTGTGCGTTCGGTAAATTAGGTAACGTGACTAGCAGATGATAAACGCAGTGGATGCGCTAACCGCTGCATAAACGAATGCACCCAGTGTGATGAGTGTATAAAGGCGGCGTGTAATTCGTCAAACGTGACGAGTGTCAAGGCAGCGTGTGATTCGTCTACGCGTGACGTGAAGCGTATTGGTGCAATCAGCGGAACGTTTAGCGCAAGCACGTAGGATCGAGTCGTAGCGGTTGATACGACGGAGCGCCTGTCGGTGGGCGCGTTCGTGGATGCGTCGCGAGTCCGTTCGATAGTCGAACGATACGGGTCGCTCGGCGGCACGGATTGGTCGACGCGGTTTTGCCTGCCGGATGGAGTTTGACTTTAAATCCGGTGTGCGGAAACGCGATATTTGGATCAGAAGCCGAGTATGCTTGGCGAATACACGAGAACGCTCGTGTTCGCAAGATGAGGAGCCGAGTATGCTCGGCGGGAATACGAGAACGCTCGTACGAGGTGGATTCGAAGCGGCGGTCCTGCTGGGTACACGGGAATGCCCGTGTACGAAGACCGGTACTTGGAGGAGCCGAGTACGCGCGGTGGGTGCACGAGAACGCTCGTGCTTCAGCGGATAGAATATAGAGAACGCTCGGCGGTACACGAGAACGCTCGTAAAGGGATATTCGCTGTCTAGCAGCGAACAGGATCTGGTGAAATAGACGTACAGCCAGGCCTCTTTTATACCCGGCAGGCGGCCGACTGACTTCGGATCGGCAAGCATTGGCGGCAGTGATGCGATATCTACTACCGGGCTCCCATCTCTCGAGCCCCAACACAAGTAAGAAGCGCTTACGTCACGCGTCTGTGTGCGCTCGGCCGTTCGGCTATAGAGAGAGAGCGGACGTCTCTGTCTTGCTACCATCGAGCCGACGTAAACACATAGCGAACGGCAAATGCCAAGATCTATAGAGAGAAGGTTACCTCATGCGTAAAGAGGGACGAGCGGCAAGAGGGGCAAATGCAGAGGGACGAGCGGCAAGAGGGGCAATGATGATCTCATCGGCGAGCAGAAGCTATCTCAGACAGCTACTGTTTGTCGATGAGATCATCATGCTCTCCCCTTCCTTCATCGCCCCTCGCCATCAAGCTGTTTCTAGCTCCCCCCTTACTTCATCGTCCCTCGCCAACACCACTTATAGACAAGACCTCTCCACTGAAATCATGACGTCATCACTAGTAGGCCTCCTTTATCCTTCAGTTTTTTAACGTAACCTTGTGTTTCATGCGACATTAACGTGAATTTTTTAATAGTGTAGTGTGTTTTGATAAGAATTTTTTGTTGTGGATAGTTGATGAATGCCTGTATTATTGAGGTAAGTCATAATTTTTTTAATTTACCGAATTATGAACGTATTTAAAAAACTGATCATAATAGGTTAGATTTGGATCATACTTCTTTATTATTGAAATTATGTATTTCTTTTATAGCAATGCCTTTCAAATGTTGTGTGCCAAATTGTAACGGCAATTACAAAAATGTTAATTATAAAAATTACGCATACACTCTCTAACATCCTTTTAAACAATTACACAAAAAGACAAAATGATATCAATAAAAAGAAAA